AATGATTCCCTCTCATCATTGATATTTCTATCTCTCTCTCCTCTCCCATCCTCTCTGAAATAAATTTTTTAAAAAAATTTTAATGGTCAAGGACGTGAATGCCAGGGAAAGATGGAGGCACTGTTGTTTGAAATTGAAGGAGACTGAAGAGCCCTGACAACCAAAGACCACATGTGCTCCTAGACTAGTTATGGATGAGAAAGCAAAGACATTATGAGATAGTTGGTGATACTTGAATGGGATCTGAATATTGGATGCTAGCACTGAATCAATGTGAATTTCCTTATTTGGAGTGTTATTCCGAAAGTGTCCTTGGGAGGTAGGCAGAATGCATGCCAGAGAACTGAGGGGCTTCATGTCTACAGTTTGCTCTCAAATCATTCAGAAAGACACAGTACACACACACACACACACACACACACACACACACACAGCAAATGTGGTAAAAGGTAACAATCTGGGTAAAAAGAATATGGGAGTTCTTTGTACTATTACTTGCAACTTTTTCTAAGTGTGAAGTTGTTTTTAAAAATGTTTAAAGAGGCAAAGGAAAGAAGAACTTAAGTATCAGACTAAGAAAGGAGTCCTATATACCAGGAGGGCACATATGACTTTTTTAAAAGCTTGGTCTGCTTCACTAAGTGCACAGCACTTCCAGAGAATAAGTTTTAATTGCATCTGTATATTTAATTATGTAAGTATATCTGCAGGCACTCTGATAAACCACAGTCTGTAGAGTTCAATACTAAAAATTTAGCTTCCATTATATTATTTTTCGCTTTGTATTGCAGATGACTAAATACCATGCTTTTTGTATAATAGGAATATTAATGGTAGTAATAGTTCTTATTTGTACTTTGACAGCTCTTACTATGTACCATCACTACTCTATTTTACATACTTTAACTTAATCCTCATAACACGTTCTGAAGTAGAGACTATTGTTATCTTTGTCTATAGATGAGGAACTAAGAGATAGAAAGGTCAAGTGTCTTGTCCAAGTTAGTGGCAGAGCTGGAATTTGAACCTAAGCAGCCTGTCTCTAGAGCCCCATTTTTTTAAAATTATATTTTTATTGATTTCAGAGAGGAAGCATGAGAGAGAAACATCAATGATGAGAGAGAATCACTGATTGGCTGCCTCCTACACGCCCCACAATGGGGATTGAACCCGCAACCCAGGCATATGCCCTGACCAGGAATCAAACCCTGACCTCCTGATTCATAGATCAGTGCTCAACCACCGAGCCACGCTAGAGTCCATATCTTTGATACACATATTCTGTGTTTCAAGAGCTCGTTTTTAAGTTTCTTCAGGACAGGAACAAGAAGGTCTAGCACACGCCCTTTATTTCATAAATAGCTGTTAACTCACAGGCTGGAAGCTCTGTTGCAACCCTTCCCTGGATGGTCATCAATACACTGTGACCTAAGCATTGTCTCTCAAGAGAATACATTAAGGCATGTCCCAAAGACCAAAGAGATGGTACAGAATAGGAAACCAGAAAAAGGAAGATCATCAACATCAACATAGGACAAAAGTTCCTTTCAGTTCATCCAACAGGAACTGTGTAACCTCTCTCTCTCTCTCTCTCTCTCTCTCTCTCTCTCTCTCTCTCACACACACACACACACACACACACACACACACACACACACGCCTGGCTTTGAATTAAATGGAGAGGGTTCAAAGACATAGGCTTACCATCAACATTTACAACCTAGAGCAAAACTCTTGGACAGGGGGTGGGAATAGGGGCTAATGGAAAAGGCAGATTCCTAGGGCCAGACCCACAGAACAAACACATTTTGAGAAAATCCTAGGAGAATATGTATGATAAGTGGCCAGATGAGGAGAGAGTATCCCAAGCTGGGAGAACAGAATGAACATTGATTCAGCAGGAAAGAGCATGTCTTGTCTGGGGAAGAGTAAGGAAACACCTGGAAGGGGCCGGGGGTGCTCAGGGGCACCCCTCCAGGGCCAGCCGCCCTCTGCATGCAGCAGCCCCCTGCAGACGGGTATGCACGTGCAAACACTTCAGCTCTTGGGACCACACCCAGCCCAAACCCGGGATGACTAGATGCCCTGGTTTGCCAGGACAGTTCTGCTTTATTCCTGTTATCCCAGCACCCCTTCTGGTTAGTGTCCCTGTTCACTTTCAAAAGCATCCTGTTTGTAGTGATAAATGGCATGGTCACCCGAGCAAACCCCACTTTGTGCAGCCTGACATAGTAGATCCTCCTGCCTCCCTGTGATTCCTGAATCCCATCTCTCCTCTTTAGAGGTTTTAGGAACCTGACTTACACACATTGGCTTCACTCCCTACTCCATCAATGGAAGCTTAAGCTGTGTCTCGAATCTATCGGATGAGAAGATCCCCAATTTAAAAAATAATGACTTAGCTTTCTAAGTGGCCTTAATCACCAAATCAAATAGGCTGCATATGTAATTTAATAAAACATATATGTAAACCTAGCTAGTGTCACTCGGTTGGGCGTCGTCCTGTACACCAAAAAGCTGTCGGTTGGATTCCCGGTCAGGCACGTGCCCCAGTTGCGGGCTTGATGCCCAATAGGGGGCGGGCAGGAGGCTGCCATTCAATGTTTCTCTCTCACACTGATGTTTCTCTCCCTCTCCCTCTCCTTTTCTCTATCTCTCGAAAAATCAATTAAAAAAATCTTTTAAAAACAAATAAAACACATGTACAGTGTTAAAAAAAAAAAGTACCCAGAAATTGGCATAATCCAAATCTCAAGGTGATTTGTATTTCACTAGAAACCTACTGAAATGAGAGGAAAATATGTGTTCATTGATGTTTCAAAGAAATGTCTAATACACCTTTCCGGGTACTTAGAGAACTGTTAGGTACGGACCAATGCTCTTAAGTAATTAAAGTCTATGGTGCCAGACAAGTGTCTCAATAAACACACTTTCTACTACCTTTTAACATGGAAATTTAAGTGCTTATTTACATTTACTTTCGGATTTAAAATTGAACAGATGTCTCGCGGCTCTTCTGAGAATCAAAATGGCTTATATAATCCTTCAGATCAAAACACTTTATGCCATCACAAACTTTCCATTTAATTCTATTGCCAATTCAAAATATTGATGTGGTTTTATTTCAGGTTTATGTAAGCAACGCCTGGAGGGCATTGGCCCCCACCTGCTGCATTTTCAATACTCAGGTTGCTTTTTCTCCTGTAAATGTCTTGGCAGGAAATAGACAAAAGGGTTTTCTGCAGAAACAAGGTCCATGTGAAAGATTTAAGAAATATCTTTTAGGAAGTTTGCTATCAGAATACTTTCATCCAACGTGAATTAGGTTCAGATGGAAAGCTAAAGTAATGATTTACTACAGGAATGTTTACCTGGGGTTTCTTTCATTCATTTAAACTCAACAAGTATTTTAAACACTACTAGACCATATTTTCAAGCTAACCTATGTGCCACTAGTGCTGTTTGGTAGACTTGATAACGTGGTCTTTGGGCTCCTGGCATGTGCAAAGCCCTGTGACAGCTACTGAATGGGATAACATGCAATTTTCAAGGGAGTGGCCTTTGAGACATTGCTGAAGTGATCACAGGATTTTAACAGGAAGAGAAATGGGGTGGGTGGAAGCATAAAAGGAATTCTAGGCATAAACAATGGTTGAGGCAAAGGTGTGTGGGGAGAGGTGTGAGAGGTGGAGAAACAGGTAAGTGTGCATTGGGTGGGATGGTGAGGGAGATTAGTGTTCAGGAGATCCTGGTGTCTCTCTCTTCCTGCTGGACAGTAAGTTTGCATCTTGTTTTGAAAATTTCCAGGCAAATGAAAGACATGATGCAATCGCTGCTTGTAGATCTGAACTGGCATTGGTAAAGGTTGGAGGCAGAGGCCAATTAGGAAGGTATTGCTAGTGTTTGGATTAAAAAACAAACAACCCCCAAAATAATATGGGTGCAAGCTGGGAAAGTAGCAAGGGGAAGAAAAAGGAGGGGTCGATTTTTGAAAGTTCTAATTCAAATCCATAGGACATGGCAACTGTTTATATGTGAGGAGCTAGGGGGGTGGTCCTTCCAAGGTAGCAATGTGATTTTGAGCCTGGAGGGTGGGAAGGTGGTGGAACCATCAAGATAAACGCAGGCCGCAAATGCAGGTGGTGCTGGAGTGAGGTGCTGGGGTAACCACAGGAGAAGTATAAACAATCTATAAACCCAGGAAATGTCCTTAATTACAAATGAGCGTTGTGGCCCGGGCTGGTGTGGCTCCGTTGGTTGGAACGTTGTCCTGTGCACCAAAGGGTCACCGGTTCTATTCCTGGTCAGGGCACATGCCCAGGTTGTGGGTTCGATCCCCAGTTGGGGCACGTACCAGAGGCAACCCATCTATGTTTCTCTCTCTCTTCCAACCCCCCTTCTCCCTCTCTCTCTAAAACCAATAAAAACATGCCCTGGGGTGAGGGTGAAAATAAGTAAGTAAATAAATAACCATCAGCTGAGTGAGTGCAGGAAGGAGGGAAGGAGCTTTCCAGGAGGCAGGCCTGTGGCTCAGGAGAGAGGTCCTTCGCGGAGGGGTACATGTGGAGTCAGGACACAGAGGTGGTCAGTGAATGAGACGACCCCGGGGAGCGATGCGGAGCAGGAAGCGAAGGGGCTGAAGACAGAGACCTCAGGAGCAACGTGCAGTCAGGGCCCAGAAGCCAGAGTGAGGATGAGAACAGGCAGGGGCAGAGGCCAGAACCTAGAGAGAGCAGAGTTGCCAACATGGAAGGAGGCAGGTGTCTCTAAATAAAGAGGGACCCAGCAGAAGTCACTAGCATTGCTATCGTGGAGTTTAGGGATTGAGTGAAAGCATTATGTGTCGTGTTCTATGCCAAGAGCTTCACCTGCCTTTCCCTCACACTCACCCTTGGGGGTAGGCCCTGCTAACTAAACGGTGAGAGGAGGTTCAGGTCCATTCAGCGACCCCCCCCCCCACCAGCGTCACACAGCTGGCCGGTGGAAGGGCACCCCGAAACCTGTTCATCTCACACACTTGGCCAAGAGCTCCAATAGGGCGGCGAGGGTAGGAGCCAGATCTCAGCGCCTGGGCAAGAGAAGGGGACAGGAACGCACAGGTGTTCTGTGCTCCCTGTGGGTCTGGGACTGTGCTGGATGCTCTATGAATGTAGACACAGGTGGTGAACGCAGAGAGAGGGCTCGGCAGCCGGGGAGGAAAACGGGGTGGCTGCTATTCAGAGGGGCTGTTACTCTGGGTCTCGTGCTAGAACCTGGTAATCGTTTCACAAAACAGAAACCTGCATTCAAACGAGCTTCTTGAAACTAGATTTCCCCGCCGCAACAGAATGTAGTGCCTTGCTATTTCCTTACACGTGAAACATGCTATTTCTTATATTTACTACGCGTACAAGTATCCATGCATTCGAATAGTACATACTTTTTGGGGTCCCTTCTTTTTTTCTGATGAGAGTATGATATTTCCTTTCAAAACGATAATGCCCCTCAGCTCTGGATCATGGGAAACACAAGGAAAATAGGCCATGAGGACATAGGAGCTAGCCACGAAAATCAGCACCACGCAGCGGAGTGGTGAATTCTGTTCATCATGGGGCAGAAGATACCTGGGAGGGGAAGAGGATTCGCTCTGTCCTTCTGAGGCCCTTGTGGCCCTTGTGGAACTCACCCAGGCCTTCCCCTGGGGGTCTGGGGGCCCTGTCAGGGAAGCTGTGGTGTTGGGGGGCCTCCGAGAGCAATGCATGCTGAGCCCGAGCAGGGTGCTCTACTGGGCGGTTGCTTGCTGTCCAGTCATTGCCCCTTGGAGCCAGCGGTCAGCCTGGCGTATCTCTGAATGTCCACATAGGGCAGGAGAATGTCTTCTTCTGTATCCAGAGAAGGGAAGGCCAGACCTGTGCTCAGCTTCCAGGGCAGGGGAACCACCAGGGCAGAAAGGTTGCTGTAGATCAGCCCTCGCCTCGGGCCGTGAGGAAGCTGTTTGATAAGCTTGGAGCAATCACTGCTCTTGAATATCAGCGAGCTTTTCATGGAGGGGATTTTAAATGAGCTCCCAAGTCAGAATAATTGGGAAGGTTGAAAGAAGGGCAGATCAGAAAGCTGTGCCCACCCAGTGCCAAAACAATGAATAAAAATGGGAAGAATGGAATCCACCCATTGTCTGGATGCCCTAAAACAGCTGCCCCTCCCTCCTACCCCAGGACTAGGTATTTCTGTGAAGTGCTCAAGGCTGAATCTCCACGGGACCCCCTTAGTTCCATGTCAACCCCTCCATTCTAATGGCACCAGGGTCTTTGAGGCCCCTCCAATGAGCAAGTTCAAATGTCTGATCCAGGCCGGTTTCTAAGAAGCAGGTTTTTGACTTGTACCCACCACTAGCCAGTGGCATCCTGCGCTGCATGACAAAGCTAGGACTGAGGCAGAACTCCCACCTCTGGCTTGATTGCCCATGGAGGGCTAGCATCAGGTGGACACAGCGTAAAGCAATGCAAAGTTTAAACCGAAGGACCCATTTTCTTCCAGCTCTAGCATGACTGGAAGAACCCAGGCATGTGCCCTGACCGGGAATAGAGTCTGGTTCATCTTTCTTAATGTATGTGAAATCATTTAATCCAAAGAAAATAATTATCAGATTTATTACTGAGGCAAAGCAGAGGCTGAGACCTCAAAGGAGACCTGGAAATTATCTGTAGGAACTTCTGATTTGCCACCCAACTGAGTCACTGAGAGCCTAAACTAGATGCCCCCTTTGTGGGGGCTGTGTGGAGGCCTGTGCTGGGACCCAGGGCAGCTTGGACTGAGACTATGGCAGCGTTGCCCTGCCGTCCTCAGCGTCACAAGCAGTGAGTGGCACTGCTTGTCCTCTGAGGGCTGGTCTCGGCCCTTCAGCTCCTTCCCAGGCAGGAAACAGAGGCAGCCCCAGGGCGGGGACAGGACTGTGAACACATCCCACATCCAGAAAGGGTCTGGGGCAGCCACCTGCCCTGAGGCACCCCCAGGCCAACTGTCCTGCTGCCCTCTCTACACCAGGCCAGCCATTCCAGAGTCCTGGGGACCGCTCAGCACCTGTGCTACCTTTAATATCATTGCAGGGCATGTGTAGAGGGCCTCGGGCACTTATACTATTTGTTGAACTATGAATTTGAACTATATGAAATTGCCATTTTTGGGGGGGTGTCAATCAAACATGGTAAAAAAATGTAATGTGTTTATTCTCACAATAGACATTGTGAGAAAAGTAGAGGGTATGTGGTGGTAAGAGCACACTTATGAGAGCCAGACCTGGGTTCAAGTCTCACTTCTATATCACTTTCATTCAACAAACATATCCTGCATTCCTGCTCTGGGCGTGGGCCTGCCCTGGCAGCTGGACATGTAGTGCTGACGAAGACAGATGGGCCTTGCTCTTCATGGCACCTGTAGTGGAGGCTTATCTTCTGGGGCCACTTCCTCGCTCTGTGATGTTGGGCCCATGACTTGGCCTCTCTGAACTTCAGCTAAGTGTTGTGAAGACTAAATGAGATGATGCAAGTTAGGCTGGAAATGCATTGGTGGCCTTTAAAAAATGGTACTTCTATTATTTTACTGTGGCTCATAGAGAACTCCTAGTAAATATTTACTGAATGGAAGAGCTTTGGGATGCACTGTGGGAATCTTTAAGTCTACCCCCTAAGAGCCTAAACTAGATGCCCCCACAGGTGAAAGGTGCACCTGCGCAGGGGCTCCTGTAGGGGAAGCTCTTGCATCCCAGAGACCACCACTCCCCACCCACCTGGGACCTGGGAGAGACCAGCTGTGGTCAGCTCCCATGAAGTCAGGAGGGCAGTGGGCATAGGGAGGGAGAGTCTGGTTCATCTTTCTTAATGTGTGTGAAATCATTTAATCCAAAGAAAATAACTATCAGATATATTGACTGAGGCAAAGCAGAGGCTGAGACCTCAAAGGAGACCTGGAAATTATCTGTAGGAACTTCTGGTTTGCCACTCAACTGAGTCACTGGCGTGAATATATACTAGTACATGGAGTTAAGCATTTCCTTTGCAGCCCAGGGGCCTATGTCCAGGCTTTGTGTGCAAACAGGCCATGTGGCTGTCTCATTCATGCCATTAAAAGTTGCGTAAGTCATGCTGGACAAGGTGTTAATAAGTGCAAAGTTGCCCTAGCCGGTTTGGCCTTGGCTCAGTGGATAGAGTGTTGGCCTGCGGACCGAATGGTCCCAGGTTCGATTGCGGCCAAGGGCACATGCCCAGGTTGTGGGCTTGATCCCCAGTGGGGAGTGTGCAGGAGGCAGCCAATCAATGATTCTCCCTCATCATTGAAGTTTCTATCTTTTTCTCCCTTTCCTTTCCTCTCTGAAATCAATAAAAATATATTAAAACTAATTATAAGTGCAAAGTTGCTATCGAGCAGTATAGCCTCTAATGGTACCTTTCCTGTCTTCATAGTCTTGAGTTCTGTGCTGCTTTCCCGGTCCATTCATCATAAGTGCACAGGGAGATGAGACCAACAATTGCATTAACTTGTTTTCATACAGTTTTCTGGTGGAAGCTGAGGAAGAATGTGGAGAATAGATTAAGTTGTTCTGTTTGTATCTGGGATCTTACTGGGTTCAAGGTATTTCACAACTCAGAACCTTATTCTTTTTATTTAATATGTTTTTATTGATTTCAGAGAGGAAGGAAGAGGGAAAGAGAAATAGAAACATCAATGATGAGAATCATTGATCGGCTGCCTCCTGCATGCCCCACACTGGGGATTGAGCCTGCAACCCGGGCATGTGCCCTGACTGGGAATAGAACCATGACCTCCTGGTTCTTATGTAGAGGCTCAACCCCTGAGCCATGCCAGCCAGGCTCAGCTTCTTACTCTTTTTAAAAATATATTTTATTGATTTTTTACAGAGAGGAAGGGAGAGGGATAGAGAGTTAGAAACATCGGTGAGAGAGAAACATTGATCAGCTGCCTCCTGCACTCCCCCTACTGGGGATGTGCCCACAGCCAAGGTACATGCCCTTGACCGGAATCGAACCTGGGACCCTTGAATCTGCAGGCTGACGCTCTATTCACTGAGCCAAACCGGTTAGGGCAGCTTCTTACTCTTATACTTACATTATTAACTGTGTTTTTGACAATGAGGTGGACCCCACAGCTACTCAACTCACTCTGTCCCTTCCACAAACACTTCAGGTGAGGCCTCTATGTGTTAGCCATAGAGTCAGGCATTGGCTACATCTGAGAAGACTGACAAAGTTGTAACTCTATCTGTGGGGACTATGGACAATACATACATGCATAGTTAGCACAGTGCACATACTAGGAATGAAAAAGAACCCAGGGTGATATAATCAAGAGTAACTGGGGGAAAGAGATTATTTTTCTGTCTGACACCACACTTACTAATCTGTATGAAGTATCTGAGTGTATTTATCACCTCTTCCCTTCTTTAGGGTTTTTCTGCTTTTTTTAAAATTTTCCTATTTCTAGTTTAATGATTTTTATTGTATATGTTTCTTCCACTATAAATAAATTTAAATCTGGGAGGTAGTCTATGAGTCATAGATGACTAGTCTCTAATATTTGCTGCATACATACATAGAATCGGGCCAGGTGAAAATCCAAGCTTATTAAGTTCATTCTGTAATTCATAGTCACTCAGACATTTCACGTCCACCATGGTGATGGAAGTTTGGTCTCTTTGCTGATAGCGAGATCTCTGAAAGAGTAAAACATTAAGTTCATTAAGACAGTCTTCCAAGGAAGAACTAAAAGGTCACTTAGTCCGCTCAAGTGTGTCCCAACTGAGCTCCCCAATCTTGGAGGTGCGAAGGCAAGAAAGAAAAAAATATCACCATTTTCTGCTGTTTCTGCCACAAATCGATTCCAGATTTGTTTGCCTCGATGCCACGCTTTGGGTGGGTGTCACTTTCCCCCATGTCAATAACCTCCCTAGCAACAGACTGATGTGAAAGTCTGAGGATTCATTTAACCCAGGTTCAATTCTTTCTAACTTTTCTACTCAACTAATGTGAGGAAAATCTTCTGCCCAAAATGAACGAATGAACACATCTTTCTATTACTGCGTAGGAACTGAGAAAGACTCAAGTTCTGAGAAGATAAGAAGTTAATTAAATATAAAAGAGCTGAGAGCGATGTTTTAGTGAGTTAAATAGAAGTTATTTATCCCTGCTCGCCTTTTGATGAGAGTACAGAGCATTCAGATATTGCAAACAGTAGTAGTTTCCACACTTGTAATTTAACTCTGAATGTAGCAAGAGGGTCGTTTTTAATTAACCGCCAGCAGACTCTGTAATTGCTGAATTGGCATTTGAAAAAGTCAGCTGTTCATTCGCTGGCACATGAATTGATTTATATAGATTTACACAAGTCTCAATATGGCTCCCCAACCTGCACAGCCTCACGTTCGACCAGTGTTATCCAGTTGATCCCTCTATCCTCCCAAACTGGCCCCTCTACCCACTTAACAAAATCCCAACAGACAGACCCATTTGTCAAACCTTTTAACAGAGATTTTTAATTTAGGGGTTTCTTTATTGTACCTCGTTTCTATCATGTTTCCAGGCTTTTTAATATCACAGTGAAAATGACTTCAAGACAATTACTCAGCATTGGAGGATCTGGACCAATTTTAAGTAATGACTTTGCCTTTATTGGTGATCAGTCAATGTCCAATTAGGAAGAACATTGTACGCAAGCTAGAAAAAGCTGTGAATTGTCATGCATACCAAGGTTGTTTGAGAACTCCTGGCTTAACAGGTCTCCACTTTTAAAGCTATACTCGGACCAGGGTCACACAGGTGTTTCGTAAAGGTGTTCCCCCCTTTTCTGTACGTTTGAGAAGCTGAATTAACACGTTTAGGTCACTAGTAAACATCCTAATGTTAGGAAGGAAAAGGACAATGCGCTTCCATTTTTAATTTTTATGTATTTATTTTTATTTTCTTACTGGAAGCTAGCTTAGGCAGATCCTGTGACATTTCCTCCAGAGAACAGCTGTCTGTTGTTTCGCCACCTTCCCAAAAATAACCTCCAAAAGAGCCCTCATCAATTTCAAGTGACACTAGACAATTGCCTAGAGGGAACCCACATATGGAAGAGGAATATTCAAATGGGATCCAACTGGATGATGAATCCACTTACCCCTTACATGGTTGTCTAAGGTCTGTGCAGTTGGGTTGGTTACTGAAGCTGGGTGAGTTTCACCCAAAGTTCCCACTAACAACCAACCCCTTTTTGCCTGTTGGATATTATGATAATCATAATACTGACAGTGTGACATCAATAACCTCCCTAGCAACAGACTGATGTGAAAGTCTGAGGATTCATGTAACCCAGGTTCAAGCAGAGGCGGCGCTGGTTGACTTCATAGGCTGACCACCATGGTAAAATGTCCAAGGGTGCAGGGGCAGTGATCCGCATGCACGGGAAGTGAGGAGAAGGAGTTGCCACCCACCAAACGCTGCCAAGGAGCTGGGAAGATGAAGGAGAAATCAAATGTCAAGCATCTAGGCCATCCTAAGACCCACAGTAGCAGATGGGGAGTTTGGCCGTATCCTCTAGGGAAAATGAGAAAATGAAAGAAACCTGTATTCTGTATTAACTTGTTAAGGAATTGCTCATTTAAAAAATAAGGATCCGGATAGAGTGCAGACAAATAATACGTTGCAGAATTGTGATGGTCTTGGCCATCCAAATTCCTATCTCATTTCATCCTCAGCACACTCCTGTGACAAGCCCAGGACAGACAGCATCGACGTTGCAGGAGACCAGTTCTTGTTGTTGCTTTAGTTTCTTTAAGGAAAGATCCCTTGGACTATTAGCTTGAGTTTGCTGAGACAATCGTGCAAGACAAATTAGGCTGAAACAAGCATTGCAAGACAAAATGTAACTTTGGGAAAACACATGCCTTAATTAAATACCAGGGATCGGAAGGAGCCACCTGAAAGGGGTTAAGAGTGGAGCCAGCCCAATGGGAGCCAAATCCCAACCTGTCTCTTTCCAGCTGGGTGACGGATGCCAAGCAGGGGAAGCTACTAAACTCATTGTCCCCTTGGCTTCATCTGCAATGGGGATGACAAGGGTACCCACCTCCCAGGGCTGTCATGCGCATGTAATGAGTTCTACCACGCAGCAAGCACTGATTATTCCTGTGCCCTAGCCTCAGAGAGATTCCACATCCGGCCTCTTCTTCAGGGGGCTCCGTTCTATTTACACTTATCCGTGGGACCCTATTGTTTCTATACTTTCCCGATGCTGGGAAAGGACTGAGCACCTTTGGGTGCATGGTCAGGGAGGCTCCTTGAGTGATCCAAGCTGAGGCTCTGTGGTAGGCCGTTAGACAGACATGAGCAGAGCAAGGACGATGGGCCAGGTACAGAAGGTCATCAGGGTGGAAGCCCCCGGTGCCTAGCAATGGGCAAAATTGGGAAAACAAGACCCCCCATCCTGAAAGGACACATCTGGGAAGCTGCTGGATATTCCGAGAGCTCCAGATAAACACTCTCAGGTCGAAGGACCCAGTGTGCTCTCTCTCTCTCTCAAGAGCACACCCTCACCTTTCTCGTCCTCCTCCTCTTCCTCCCCACCCTCCTGAGCTCCAAGGGTCCCTTCTTTTGCCTCTGTAACTTGTTTCCTGAGCCCATGTCTTCGACCACTCACTTCTTCTAGCTCTGTGGCTTTCTAAATAAACTTTCTCTTATAGTTTGAGCCTTGCCTCAGAATTCTTTCTTAGCCAGAACTCAAGTACTGAGGTTGCTGAACCGAGGTGCGGTCTGACTCCACCGGTCTAACACCTGGCGCCATTTCGCTGCCAACAGTTCCGAGAGCCATGGCTCAGTTTCCAAACAAACATGTAATACACGCGTTTGCCAACACCCAAACATGGGATGCACCAGGCAAAGACTTTGGAAGGTGACACATTTGTTTTCATCAAAGCAAATACATGATAAGCTTGGGTTATTAGGATGCGCAAGCATTTTGTTTACATTTCCCAGAATTGCTTTACATAAAAAAAGCAAACAGCAGGTGGAACCCCTTCCATTTAAGCAGTTAAAATATTGGAATGAAACAGGCGTTTCTAAAATAAATTTTGGTCAGACCTCTGGGGATTATAACAAGCGAGGTTGACAAAGGATTCAATCAGATGCTCTCTTTGGGTGGAGCCCTCTATTATGTGCAAACTACTCTGTCTGAGGTAATTCTCTTAAAGATCCCCCACCAGCACATCCCTGGCTCTACTCTCAGCATTATTCTGTTTAAGAATTCCTGTACTCTGCCTGACTGGCATGGCTCAGTGGTTGAGCGTTGACCTAGGAACCAGGAAGTCAAGGTTCGGTTCCTGGTCTGGACACATGCCCGGTTTCGGGCTCGATCCCCAGTGTGGCGTGTGCAGGAGGTAGCCGATTAATGATTCTCTCTCATTGATGTTTCTCTCTCTCTCTCCCTCTCCTTTCCTCTCTGAAATCAATAAAAATATATTTTTTTAAAAATGATTCCTGTACTCTGCAGGATGCTGAAATATTCGGTTTTGATGTTTACAGCCCCATTTCCCTTGGTTTTACCTGTGAAGTCTTGGGCATTAGCTTGTTTTTTATTTCCTCCCGGGCTGCAAAGACATTTTATTCCAGTTCTTGAGGGAAGTTTTAATTGCCAATCGACTAGGTATTCAACATGATAAGGTATCTAAACCCTGAGAGCTTCCTCCTTTCATTAAAATGTGGATCCAATTTCTTTTCCCTTAATGCCACATGCTGTTATTAAACTGAAATAACGGAAATAGTAAAAGCCAGATGTCACTTCAGTCTCAGGTTTGACGCGGGGCACAATTTCCTCTCCTCAAGTTCAATCTGCGTTATTTACTCACCCCATCCTCTGGAAGAATGCACAATTTAAATGTAAATGCAATTTACATAGGGGAGCAGATAGTAGATTTGCAGTTTCAATTGCCACAGAACCGTTTGCAAAGGGGGAAATCAGCTAGAGCAAAGATCAGCAGCTGCCAGGCTGAAGTCCCATCACTTGCCATTCTCCTGTGACTTTCCTCCTGAAGCCACCTGCCTCCCAGCCTCAGCCAGGCAGGCGGAAGGAAGTGGGGAACTCTGGCATCTTCCCAGATAGTTCAAGGAGCATGGACTGTTGACTGGGGGAGAAAAGAGAAAGTTGGGGTTTCAATGAGCTAATCTGCTTGGCATCCTTGTTGAAATCATTAACTGACCAATTTCTTTCAAGAAATATTGACTGCCTGGCTGGTGTGGCTCAGTGGTTGAGCGCCAATCCAGGAACCAGGAGGTCACAGTTCAATTCCCGGTCAAGGCATGTGCCCGGGTTGCTGGCTCGATCCCAGTAAGAGGGTGTGCAGGAAGCACTAAATCAGTGATTCTCTCTCATCATTGATCTCTCTCTCTCTCTCTCTCTCTCTCGCCCTTCTCTCTCTGAAATCAATAAGAAACATATTTTAAAAATAAAAATAAAATCAATAAAAACATATTTTTTAAACAGGAAATATTGATTATCTCCTGTGGAGCAGACAGTATACTTGGCCTAAATTAGGGAGAAAGCTATAGTCCTTTCAAGGAGCTCATTGTCTCCTTAAAGAGAAAGGAAAACAAATAATTACAAGAAAATAAGCTGTTAACGGGAGCCCAGACTTGGAAGCCC